CATGCAGTCTTGAGGGGAAGCTTTTGAGAAGTGGCTGAATTGAGGGTTTGTGATTGAGTTGCGGTCCAGTGCTGGGACTAAAGGTGTGCGTGCTAACCTACTGAAGGGCGGGTGTGCAATGGAAGGACAGAAAGAGGCCTGCCCCTGCCCCCCTGCATTGTTGTTTTCACCGTTTTCTGCTGCAATGAACTGCTGCCCCCTGCCATGTGCCACTCTGCCTTGGAGCAAGTTGAGTATGGACTGAAACTCCACAAACTGTGAGCCAAATAAACCTTTCCCCTTTCAACTTTGGGTGTCAAGTATTTGGTCTCATCAACAAGAAAAAAATAACTAAGACCTGGCTATTTGTTACCTCACTAAAACTTGGTTTGTCCTAATTGGTGCAATTTAGGTGGGGGTTTTTTGTTTGTTTTTAATTTTTTTTTCTTTTTTTTGGCAGAGTCTGACTATATAGCCCAGACTGGCCTCAAACTCATGCCAATCCTCCTGCCTTGGTGCTGGGCTTACAGGCCTGCACCCCCATACCCAGGACAATTTAGTTCTAATGGTTTTGTTGTATCTAGGTTGTTACTGTCAGCCAGCCAAAGCCATGTGAGGGCAATGAGAAGAATTGGCGACCCTAAGCTTCCTGTGCTCTAAGGAGTATAGATCCTGACAGCTATTTGAAAACTTGAAGAAAGAAGAACAATTTGCTTAGGTAAAGAATGAGGTGAAAGCACAGGAGGACTAGGGGAGCACTGTACTATAGTGCCGAGGGCCCCTAAGGCCTCTTGGAACGACTCCATGGCTCTGGGAAGTGGCTCCACTCCTGTGGCAGACAGAGCACAGTGGAGCACACATCTTGCACAGGTGGGCCTGAGGGCGGAGGTGCAGCTCGGGTCGAGCATCTGCTTAGCACGCATGAAGCTTTGGGTTTGACCCGCGACACCACCACTCCTCCTAAAAAGCTGGGACCCAATAAAGGCTGCACTGTTAGGGAAAAGATATGTGCCAAATTAAAAAATAAAAGCTTCCCACAGAGTCTGAGAACAAGGAGCAATGTCTTGACTTTGAGTAAAAAAAAAATTTTTGTAGTCTTCTTCAAGAACATGTGAACATTATCATTCCTCAGGTGGATTCAGAACTTGAAACTCAAGGATGGGGGAGAGGAGGCTTCTTAAAAAATACAAGCAGAGAGTTGGAAGTGAAAATAGGCCCAGGCATCTCCTGTGCCTCTAGGCCTCCCATCTTAAGGGGCAAAAACAGATGCTCCGTCAGGGACTCATTTACCACTTAGGCAGCAAAAATCACTGCAGGTGTAGTTTTTGGAAGCAAAACTCACTAACATGAAAGGAGCAAGCACTAAGAGAAGCAGCAGAAACACACTGGGAACTGAAGCTCAGGCACTAAGCTGATCGAGTACAGATGTAATGTGTTTATAGAAATGAGAGAGAAGGGGCTGGGGAGATGGCTCAGTGGAATAAGTGCTTGCCTGGCAAGCGCAAGGGCCTGAGTTCAATCCCTGGTTCCACCAAAAAAAAAAGAAATGAGAGAGAAATTTTGAGTAGGCAAAGGGAGTGGAGGCAGGGCAATCTTTAGTAATGAAATATAATCAACAAAATTCCAAAACTTCCTGCAGGACTGTTCAGCCACCAAACTGACAAGTGAATTGGAGGTTCTGGTTAACTTTAGAGGGAAGGCACCACACACAGAGACACCTGGATGAGTCTAAAAAATGTAGAAGGTGATACAGCCAGGATATTGAGCTGAAAAATCAGCCACACTGTCCACTGAGAGACAAAGCCTCCTCACCAGCCACCTTGCCTGCCTCCTTTCTCTCAGTCTCAACAGAGAAAGGCATCGGTTCTAAGTTCCCAGAGGGCCTTGTAGTAGACACACTGTCACAGATGGTGAGTCTGAATGAGAGTCACATCAGACCTTCTGGAATCTTGGTTGCTCCACACCCCCCCAGCCTAGTAGAGCACCTCATGAAAGCAACGGGTCTCTTGGGGTATCCAGTGCAACTCCTTAATGACCTACTCTCTGGCACACAGAGTGCAGTGCATAGACAGCGCTGTGAGGTACAGAGTTCTGCAAAGCTCCATATGTATTTATCACCCTCAACCTCCCCAGACTGAGCTCGAACTACTTTCTTTTTTGTTTGTTTTTTGGGCTTGGTTTTGTTTTGTTTTGAGACAGGGCATCAGTATGTAGTCCAACCTGACCTTGAACTCAATGTATAGCCAGGCTGGCCTTGAACTCGCTGTGATCTTTGTGCCTCAGGTTCCTAAGTACAGGGGTTGAAGATGTGAGCAATACCCACCTCACTACTTTCTTGAAAATAGAGCTAAATAGTTAAGTCAGAAAAAGGGTCTGACATCTCTAGGAGCCATGATACCAGATTATGAGACCTGCTATCGGTTTATGTGAAACTGTTAATCAGCAGAAAAGAGAGAACTGGAGAAAAAACTCATGAACTGGAAGGTATAATAGAGAATGCTTCTGGGGGAGATAAAGAAATGGAAAGTACCAGCTAGGACACTGAACTATGAAGGCGAGAACGGCAGTGCACTGCGAATGAGTTCTAGAAGCAAAAGAGTCAGAAGACAAGAGGTGTACAAAGGTGTGACTGGTGAGAATGATGCAGAATAGTGACCAACTTCAGTGTATAAACCCAGAAAGCCTGCTGAATCCTAATCAGGATACACAGGAAGAAAGCCACAAGTATGCACATCATAGAAAAAACAGAGAACCAAAGACCAGAAGAAGCTTTTAAAAACCCAAGCTATTGTAATTATGATACATAAGGATTCAGCCACATTAGAAGAGTTTGGCAGTTTCTTAGAAAGCTGCCTGTAGGCTTACCATTTGATGCAGCAGTTGTAACCCTGACCATTTACCCAAATGAGTTAAAAACTTAAAGATCCTACATAGAAATATTTATAGGAGCTTTAGTCATAATTTCCCCTAACTACAAGCAACCATGACATCCTTCAGAAGGTGGATGGAGAAACAACTCATTGGGAAGCCATACCATGGAGTATTGATAAATGATGGAAACTGAGCCATCAAGCCACATGAAGAACCTTAAGTGAAGCTTAAATACAAATACTAAGTGGAAGAAACTAGTTGAAAAAGCTATACACTATATGATTGCAACTGTATGACATCCTGGAAAATGCAAATCTAAGAGATAATAAAAAGACCAGTGATTGTGAGAACTGACGGGGGGGGGGGGTAGAAAAAGGAAAGGTGGCTAGGGATAAAGGATGGGATGAAGGACTTTTAGCATGAATCTATGCTGTAAGATGTCATAATGGTGCACACATGGAATTATTTATCTGTCCAACACCATAGAGCCATTCAACACAAAGAGCTAACCCTAATGTAAACCTAATGTAGGAGTTTAGTTGATGATAGTATATCAAATGTAGGCATGGTGGCACATGCTGCCTGTAATCCCAGCACTTGGGAGGCTGAAGCACGAGGCTAACTATGAGATTGAAGCCAGCCTGAGCTACATAGAGAGTTCAAGACCAGCCTCGACTGCAGAGTGAGACACTGTCTCAAAGAAACAAAAACAAAAGATAATCATCATTGTCACTATAGTGATCAATGTTGGCTCATCAGCTGTATTGAGCAAATGACACTAATGCAAGATAGCAATAGCGACGTTGTTGTGGGGCAGGGAAAGAGGGTGGAGATGGGGGCGCTTGGTGCTTTCTGCCCAACTTCTCTGTCAGCATAAAATGGCTGTAAAATTCTAAGAGTCTATTAAAAGTGTTTATGAACTTAATATATATAAAATCAGAAAAAGTTCTACAGAATATGAAAATATACACTTAGGAAATTAAATCACCACCACTACCTCTAGAGGTACCCACTTTTTAATAGTTGAATGCCTGTCTGTCCACATTTTTCTTTCCATAGAAATATATGTACACATGCTTTCCCTGTGAGATCCACATTATGAATATTTTTCCACTTTGCTTTTCTTGAACACTAACTGTATACCACAATCATGTTTCCATGTAGTCTAACTGTACATTTCTCTGTGGTATAATTCTGTCATAATTTATTTTCCCAATTCCATGTAGTTGGATATTATGACTATGCCCAAGTTTTGCTACTGCAAATTAGGTCATGCCAAAAGTCTTTGTTCTTCTGTCTTTTGAGCTTTGTTATTATAACTAGTTTCCAGAGTACCCTCTTGACAATTTATTCAAATCCATACTCTCCATGACTTCCTTCCTTCCTTCCTTCCTTCCTTCCTTCCTTCCTTCCTTCCTTCCTTCCTTCCTTCCTTCCTTCCTTCTGTCCTTCTACTTCATTTTTTCATTCCCTTTTTTATTTTAAAGAGAAACATTTTTAATAAAAGTTTCATAACAGTAAGAGTTATAATAATTGATGCATTGCATTCTGTTGTCTTTGTAGTTGTTACTCAGAGTACAAAATATAGGCACGATATCTTGTCCACACAACATTAGCCTGAGCCTTTCTTTTCAATGAAACAACCATTGTTAACGGACTATTCTTTTTTTTTTTTTTTTTGAAAATCGGTGATATGTGTATTGTTCTATGTTGCTCTGTTCCTGCCTTTGTTCTTGCTTTTGTTTTCACTCTTAAAAATAAAGTAAAATTGAAAAAAATAAACTAAAAGAAACCAGCTATATGACTTTCTGTGTTAGCTTCTCCATGCCCTTGCCAACTGTGAATGCTACCTGTTTTAAATCCTAGCAATTCTGGGGCCAGGGATAGAGCTCAGTAGCATAGCACCTTCCTGGCAAATGAAAGATCCTGGGTTCAATTCCCAGTACTGAAAAAAACAAAACCAAAATATATCCTAGCAATCCTGATAGGAGAAAATGGTTCCTTCATGTAGCAGACATTTGCAGTGCTGATGAAATCAGACTCTGCGCAAGTTGCCTGAACAATTTTCCTCTGACCGTCCAGAAACCTTCCAAGTGTTTTCTGTATTTCTTGATGTCCAAGAGCCCTTCCCTGCCTTCTGTATTTTGCAGTTACGACAGTGGCCTGATTCTTATATGAAGAAGTTTGAGCACAGAATCTACCCCATCACCTTCCCTGTTGGAAACTCTCAAGAGTGGAAGAAATTATTCAAACCCTGCGCTGCCCAGAGACTCTTTCTTCCGGTAGGAACATCTGTTTTCATAAGCATTAGCTTAGAAAGACTTACTTATAGAAGCATGGTGAAATTAGCTGAGAAGTCTTTAGAAAGCGTTTGTACAGCTCAGAAGTGTGTGCTGCCTTGGATTCTGTAGTTGATGTGTTGACTGCAGTGTGTACAGAGAGGGTTCCTGTGTGCCACAGTTTTTCCCCTAAAACTGGTCTGACAGCATCTAGACCATGGCCTGGGCTAAGGATCTTTGTGGCTATGGCTCCATCATTTTCTCTGTAAAAGATAACCAACTTCCAAAGCCTTGCTTCACTCCACAGGGTTTGCTTATGGTTACTATCAATAAATGCTCGCTTCCATGATTGTCATTTCTCTTTTTCAATGTAGCCTTGCTAAGGCATCATTCAGAAAGGGATCAGAGTTCTGGTTCAGCCTATCGGTTATGAATTTTTAAATTGTACATTTTTATTTGCTTAAGATCCTACATAGTAAACTCAGTTGAGGTGTAGCAAAACAGAACATCATTGAGCATGGAGGGCAACCTTGAATTATGAATTGCAACCTCCTATCTGTGCCTTCAATAAACACATGTTAATTTTTAATTAATTAGTATTTAATTTTCTGAATATTGCTTAATCTTAATTTTTGTTCTAAGATTTATACCATATCTTTGACTTATAATTTATTTAAAAGACATTGTATGATATCTTCTCCTAGTATTAGAAACTTTAAAAAGTATATTTCCATTTTCTGTTGACTTCATATTACTTCTTTCCTGTCTTTTATACACACATACACACACATATATGGAAAAAAAATACGTGTATAACCCAACATAAGATTGGTACTGTTTCACAAAAATCTGCAATGACCTTTAAATAAGGGTTCATCTAATATATCTTTCATATAGTCCTGCATAACTAGCATATTGAGAGCTCTTTATTGTTCATCCAGGAACATACTGTAACTTCTCTTGCCTTTTGAATTATGCTCTTTACTATTTGCTATATGCTACTTCTGCAGGTATTAAAATATTTCAAGTTTTTTTTTTTTTGTTTTGTTTTGTGGAACCAGGGATTGAACTCAGGCCCTTGTGCTTGCCAGGGAAGCATTTATTCCACTGAGCCATCTCCCTGGCCTCTAAAATATTTCAAGTTTGTATAACTAGAAAATCTTACTTTTAGTTTTCAAAGGTATGTTTGCTAAGTATGAAATTCAAAGAGAACAGATCTTTTCTTTCAGTCCTTTAATCTAGTTTCTTACACCCTTGGTCCCTTTTTTTTCTTTCTAATGTGGAATAAGATGCTATTTAATTTTGTTCTTCCATAGCTAATATTTTTATGTATATTCTTTTT